GCTTTTACCCTCATTCCTCCCCATCCTCCCCCAATTAGGAGGGCTTTATAATAGCAACACAGTTCCATATTTAACTAAAAAGTATTACAAATAAGAGCAGCAACAACAAAAAACCTCAGGGCTAGGAGGTAGAAGATACACAAATTCTTATTATGTAAATGAACTTTTGGGTTCCGTTAATCTTATATTTAATTTACCTATAAAGGCTACATTTTATCTGAGGCAGCAGATGCAGACACACACTCACACTTCAACAAAATATTAGAAAGGGTGAGTTTATTCAAAATTAGCCAAGTTTCAATGGTTTGTCAATTCAGCATAGAGAAATACACCAGAAATATTTTCCTTCTTCAGTGAAAGTATTATCAGGGCTTTGCGGAGTCTTCCCCAAAGTACTATCATTCCGCCACACAGTTACATCCCAGAGGCTGAGGGGGACTAACCAAGCCTTAGATGCCCTTTCTGCCTCCACCCCTGCATCCTGTTGCTCAAGACAAGAACAAAGACTTTCTACCTCCTACTGTTTCCTTTTTGCATTCTGACTCTTAAAAAAGAAACAAGTAAATGGGTTAACATAGTAAACACTTTTTTTGCACCTACTGATATTTGTAGTTAAATAAAAGATTTAGGGTTAATGTATTAAAGGATTCTATTTACAGTCCATCAACTTTATTTAAATGATACCTTAGAAAATTCTATGATACGAAGATTCAGTCAGAATTTTAACTTAATAGTTTTAATATGAAGGCTGGAGAGGGAAGAACAGGCTGGAAGAGAAAGTTAAATTGCTCCAATATCAATGAACTGCTACTATCTGTACTTTCCCCTCAATCTGACTTTTAAATGATAAACTTCCTTTAAAAGGTTAGATTGGACTGAGATAGAACCATGGCCAATAAAGTCACAGAATTCATTCTGAGAAAGTTAACAGAAATAATACCGGATGTTTTCAAACACATAAATAAATTCTCAATGTTCATCTTTGCTGAAAATATTAAGGCCTCCATTAAAATGCTCCTTCAGAGCCTGCTGCAGTCTTTTGTGAATCCTTAATAGATGAAAAGCTAACGGATTCTGATAAATACAGTATGTGGGAAAAGAGAAGCACAAAAGCAATACACATTATTAAATATTTACTTGGAATAAAGTACATGTCAGTTACAACTCCTCTCCCCCTCAGGTCTTAAAACCACCTGTTTCCCTTACAAAGATCATAATTTGATTGTTGCTTTGCTTTAACCTTGAGAATTTTATTTCGGAAAACTCGGGTATCTAGGGTCACTCTTGAGGAAAGATGAGATACAGAAAGCTGTGGCTTGGGACAAGAATGAAGAGAAGCAGACAAAGTGTTTTTGGGCAAAGAACATTGGTAGAGAAGGCAGGTAAGCGAGAGTGGGGAGAGAAAAGTGTGCTAAGGTATTCTAAAGTATGCTTTAAGAGGGAAAGACTTAGTGAAGTTTTATAGGGATTAGGCAAACCATCGGTCCCCAACCTTTTTGGCACCAGGGACCAATTTCATGGAAGACAATTTTTCCATGGATGGAGGTGAGGTGGGATGGATTCGGGGTGATTCAAGTGCATTACATTTAAGCAAGCTCATTTGGGGCTGTGCAGCCCAAGCCAGAACCAGTCCAAGGCCCAAAGGTTGGGGACCTCTGACGCAAAGCACCTTTTAAAAAATCTCATTTCTTAATATATTCTTATGTCAAAAACAAATTTAAATATTTAATTGGAGAAAAACCCCACTGAAAGTTAAGTTCCTCTTAAAAATATATATTCTCTGCAATCAGACAAGGGTGACAGGCCCTAGCAGGGGCAGGGCAGCTCAGTTGGTTAGAGCATCCTCCTGATCTGCCAAGGTTGTGGGTTTGATCCCAGGTCAGAGCACACAAAAGAATCAGCCAATGAATGCATAAATAAATGGAACAATAAATCGATGTTTCCCTCTAAAAAAGACAAGGGTGATAAATGGGTAGAAGGATCCTGGAATGCCATGAAAGCAAAGCATGTAAGTCTACAATATCCAATTCTTCCCTGATTATCTATTTAGGATACTGTTCATTATCTTAAACACACTAAAATATTTTTAAGGGCTTTTATAGAGATATAATCCTTCCTAAGACTATTCTCTCCATGCTTTCAAATTCTGAAAGAAAATAAACCTATCACTTTATAGGTCAATTTTCTTTTATATTATCTTGCAATGCTTGCTACTATTTATCAACCAGAATTCAGTTTCTTCAATGTTTACATGTTGAGAGTTAATAGAACTTTCAGTGGCATGCCTTCTTGTAAATGGGATAATGGAACAGAAAATTGTATTTTACACTCTACTACAAACAAGGGCCATAACAGTGCTTCAGGGTGGCTGATGCAATTTGTTGCTAGGTTCAATATTTTGGTATTAAAAACTGCTGTGGTGACAAAAGGAAGAGGACTGACAAACTGTGGTAAACTTTAGTTGCTTTCGGGAGTTTGTGGGGTTGTGATTTATAAAGATAGGAGAGGGCTTGGAGTATAAAGAACTTCCTGGACTAAATCAGAACTTGCAGAAAAAAAGATTTATTAGTTTATCTGCATATCTTTTCAGCAACTGGAAAATACTGACAACAAAATAGTAATAGGAACTTTATGTTCATTTTAAAGAATCATTGAAGTTTAATATTTGCTAACTTTGCTTTTTCCTCTAACATTCTTGTTTGCTTTTCTTGGAAACCTGAGCTTGTATCCTACCTTTAGAGAATAAGGGAGTGGCAGGAAGAAGGAAGGCAATGTAGGAGATTGACAGTTGTATATTTTATGTACTTATGGACCTGGAAAGGGATATTAGAGGTCAAAGTGGTTCAAACGTTGATTTTAGAACAGGACACAGAGGTAAAGGATAATTAACTTCTACAAGCAAGTCCTAAAAAGTGGGTGGGGTCAATGCAAATTCAGCAAGTAAATCATTGAACAGTTTGAGCAAACCTTTGTTCCCCAGCTGAGAATGCTAGCAGTGCTCAATTTTTTTCTGGTAGACAGATTTCTAAAAATTATCCTTAGGAGTCAGGTGGTTTAATAGAACCCTGTATCAGGTTTATAGAGACAAAGGGCACAGCCCTACAGCCTCTGTGCAAACTCCAGCAAGACGCTTCACCTCCGTATTTTAGGTTACTTTTAAGCACTTTATTGGAGTAAAAATGAAAAAACAAAACGCTCTTACTTTCTCAAAGAAAGCAATATGAAAGTAGAAGCCAAATCGACATTCAAAAATTTAAACTATGTATAGGATAACTTGGTGGTTACCAAATTGGACTCAACTCCTTTCTTCACCTACTTATCTTTTCTCCAAACTCAAATCCGGTGCTAGCCAGAAGCAGTACACACCCCCAGGGCTATTTCATTCGATTGGCTGGCGGGCCATCCTGCGGTCAAAACCCTTTAGATTTACTGTCAGGACGCCCGGTGTTTGTCAGAGATGTTACACTGCTCCTGTATTTGTACAAAACAAAAAGCTGTCAGGGTCGAAATATAACTTAATTTAAAAGACCCAAGTATAGTTAGTAAATTCATTTGGTTAATAAAACCGTCTAGATTTTAAACCTAGTAGACAGTCATTTCGTATGTTACTGCATCATCTGTCACTGAGGTAAAAAGGGTGAAAATTCTTAAACTAATTATTTCATAGTCTGCATTCAGGTGAGTCATAGAAACCCAAAAAAACTTGCAGGAGGCACAATCTGACGGTCCAGTCATTCCTTTTTCTAAGTGCATTTTGTCAGGACCCACACTGTCACACACACCAGGATCAAAAGAGCAAGGCAGTACCTACTCTGCGCACAGCATCAACACAGGTGCAGGTACGGGAGAGAGAGATACGACCAACTCTGGTGGATTAAGGCGGAAGAATCACTACCCATCCGAGCCAGACACATCCGAGGTGAGGGCTGAGAGGGAGCAGAGCGTGGGGGAAGGGCAAGTGCCTGCCCGGGTGGGGCTGAGCAGTGGCCCCCGGGCAAGCAGGGGGCCGGACGGCAGGGGAAGGCGCGAGGGGTTCAGGTCAGCGGCGCTCACCTCCCTTGCAGGGTGTGCGGTGCTGGCTGTGCTGGGCTCGGTAGCCTTCGATGACCTCCCAGGAGCCGTCGTCGCGCCGGATTGGGAAGGACAGGCTCAGCACATGGTTGCAGGGCTTGATGATCCTCAGGATGCCGCGCACCCGGTTCCGCTTCTGCTCCTCGCTCTCCCGGGTCTTGAGGTCCTCCACCAGCTTGTCCTCGACGATGCTAGCACCGCGGTCGAAGAAGCCCTCCACCATCTTAAAGAAGTTGGGGTCGTCTTCACGGTCAGCGGCCGCCTCGCTGTAGTGTCGCCGGGAGGACAGCGAGAGCCTCGGCTGAGGGGCGGAGGCAGCGGGCTGCCCGCGGGCCCTGCCCAGCAGCGCGGCCGAGTCGGATGCCGCCGAGCCCAAGGCTGCGGGCCCGACGCGGGACAGCAGAAGCGCTTCACCCAGGCAGCGGTACATGGCGGCGGGGCGGAGACCGCGGATGAGGAGCTCTCGGAAGCTCGGGGACCGTGGTGGGGAGGAAGGGCCCGGAGCGGGCTGCCCTTTTAAGCCGCAGCTTCCTGCCTTCCTAGCTGTCCCCTCCCCTTCGGCGCTCACCGCCTAACCAGGAGGATGGACCTTCGGGCCGCGGGCAAACGTCGCCTGTGAATGGCAGGTCCGGGGGCTCGCACCGCCCTGGGAGCCGGGCCTCCGCCTCCGCCTCCGCCTCCGCCTCCGCCTCCGCCACGGCCCAGCCGGGTCTTTCGGACGACGGCTCGTGCCGGCGGGGCCGCGCGGGGCACTCGGGGACGCGCAGGCGCGGGCACCAGGCGCGCAGGCTCACGAAGCCAAGGGGCGGAGCGAGAGCCCTCGCCAGTGGCGTGGATTGACAAGAGGCGGTGTCTCAGGTTTGTGCGTGGCCCGCGCTTGGAGGGGTGGAGGGGGTTTGAGGGGCACTTTCTTGGGGGAGGGGGCCAGTCCGGACCGGCGGCGCGCTGGACTGTGGAGGGCGCTGCGACGCCGGTCTCCAGACTTCGTGAGAGCGAAGGTGGTGCTGTGTGGCATCTCGCCAGGGTGAGTGAGTCATGGGTGTCCCTCCTTTCCGCCCTCGGGCGGGGCGGGGCATCCAGCCTGTCAACTCCTGGGCCTGTCCTGGGGCGGTCCTGGGGGAAGATGGTGCAGCCGCGGTTGAAGGCCCGGCCTAGGGCTTGGCTGTTGGCACAGAGACTGCGAAGAATTAAACGTCATCTGGAGCTGGATTTTTGAGATGGCTTGCAGAAGCTGGAAAGGAGAAAGCCTGGAATCTAGGAGAATCCCTTACCGGCTGGGTTTTACCACTTTTTAATTTTGTCCCCTTTAATCCCTCGGCGAGGTTGAGATAAAATAGTTATGTAAATAACTGTTGTAGTTTTCTAAAATTTACTGACCGTGCTTCCCCTTTTAAGTGTGGAGGAAAAAGGATGCTGTAATAAATCATAAATTCCTAACTGGGTGGGTAGTCACACCCCTGACATGGAGCCCCTTTAGTAAAAGGCTTATCTTTGCCTTAAGCAGGCCCTGTCCTTTGTTTCTGTGCCTCTGTTTAGTTAATACACCTTTGAAATACCCCCTTTCAGACTCCTTCTTATAAAAGGTGACCACTGTGTAGAGAGCACTTAATGTTAACTGTCTGTAACCTGATCCCTGCCTTGCTTTCACCACTTTCAAGTAATCTTCCTTATGGTCCCTCTTTAATCCAAAGGCAGACAAGAAACTGTAAAACTGGTGTTCTCATAGGGGCGTTGAACCATTTGGCGTCTCAGAGCTACACCGGAAGAAGAGTTTTGTTGGGTCACACACTAAATACACAAACAGTAACGAAAACTGATGAGCAAAATAAAGATTTTTGAGTAAATTTACGATTTTGTGTTGGGCTGCATTCAGAGCTATCCGGGGCCACAAGCTGCCCATGGGTTCCTGGCAATGTCAGTTTTGGTTCAAACTAAGTTGTACAAATTCTGTTCAGGTTTTGATGCTTGTTACATCAACAGAGCAGTGTTTTTGAAAAGTCTACAAACAAAGAAACTCTAGGAAATTCTTTCTCAGTAATGTTTATATTAAATGGTCCAGAATAGGGTTTGTGAACTTTAAGCTAAATGAAGGTTTAATTTGGTACTTAGGCACACTTGATGAGAAATGCTCCTATGGGTAAATTTGAGCTTTGTAAAAGTCTTAACATCTCAGTTTTTAAGACAGCTACCAAAGGCCAAATACTAGCTTTAGCAATCCCATTATATTTTGGTGGTTTTAAAAGCCACCTTTTTGACCTGCAAAACTATTTTGCTTTCTGACATTCACTTTATTTATCTGTTAGAATATGAAAGAGAATGTTCTTAAGTGTCACAATATCCTGTAAAGTATAAGATGACAACCTGGACCAGTTAAATTACATTCATCTATCTCAGTGTACTCAAAGCAAAAAAGATGCAGCTGATATTTTACTTTATTTGCTAGATAAAAGATAGTCACAGTTTATATTTGCATTGTGTTTTCTAGTGAAAAATATTCTCTGAACTGAATCCTGAATTTGTCTTGTTCATCAAAAGATTAAGTTACTAAATTTCTTTTTCATTTGATAGTATTAATATTGTACCTCCGCTGTCCCCCAAAACCTTAATGTTCCAGAATAGAGTGATTAGAATCTGTAAACACATGGACGTTTTTTTCTCTCTAGATGAAATTCTTTGATATGCTTTGAGGAAAGTGGTTTAAAAGCTTAGTTTTATTGCCCTTTTTCTTTATAACCACTGCTTTCAGAAAAGTAAATGTTTAACTTTGCTTCTTCCAAGTCTTGTTCACCTGTATTAAAGAAGGTTGAAAGGCTATGGAAGGAGTGAGGAAATTATTTTTAATTGGAGCCTCCTATGTATAGATATCTTACAAAATGGCCCCCCAAGAACCTTGTAAAGTAGCTGTTTTTGTTTTTAAAATGCTATGTTTTAAAATTAATACATGCATGAAATTTCAAACAGTACAGGTGGGTTTTTAAAAAAGTGACATTACCCTGTACCCCCATTTTGTAAGTAGTTGGAGCGGTTCTTTTCACACTCCAGTATTCTAATTCCTGATGTAACAGAAGTGGGGAGGGGGAGGATCATGAAGACCAAGTAAACTGATGATCATCTAGCTGGTTAACAGCAGACTAAGATTCAAACCCATGTATCTGACTTCAAAGGTATGCTATTTTTACTATTCCAATAAATATTTAAAGTAGTTGTTGCACTTAGTTTAAAATCATTTACTCTGCTGTAAAGTCCAGTGAGTTTAAGCTTTACATTGATGAATGCCTTTATTAAATATACAGATATTTTGCAAATTAAAGTTTAATTATTGGTAGTAATTTCCAGTTCAGAAGTATGCCAAAATTTAACTTGGAGAGAATGTTGGCCATTTGATAAGATTCAACAGACATAAATTTTCTGCCTTTGTGGTTTATGAGTTTTCCTTAGCTGTTTTAAAATTCTGGGTCTTTTCTCCTTGATCCATAGCATGCTTTTGTGGTTCTAAGTGCTTTTAAAAATATTTTAGAAAAAGAATTTTAGTATGTAGAAAGACATAACATAAATGCATGAACAATGTAGCTTTTTAAAAAATAATATAATTTGGAAATCTAGTACATTCTACTTTCTGTCTCTTGAGGATTGTGTATGGTGGACAGTTCATTTAAATGGAATCATACAATATGTTTTCCTTTGTGACTGGCTTATTTCACTTGCATAATGTTTTAAAACTTCATTTTATAGCATGTGTCAGTATTTCATTTCTTTTTATGGCTGAGGAATACTCATTATATGACTGTATCACATTTTTTCAATTCATTCATCAGTGGACATTTGGGTTATTTCCACTTTTTAGCTTTGTAAATAATGCTATTACAAACATGCTTGTACCAGTTTTTATTTAGGCATATATTTTAAATTCTCTTGAGTATATACTTAGAAGTGGAATTGCTAGGTTATATGGTAACCTGTGTTTAACCTTTTGAGGAACTGCCACACTGTTTTCCACAGCAGCTGCAGCACCCTTTTAATTCTTACCAGCAGTGTATGAGGCTTCCAATTTCATCATATCCTCCTCAACCCTTGTTATTATCTGGTGTGAAAGTGTAGCTCATTTTGGTTTTGATTTGCATTTTCTGAATGGCTAATGAAGTTGAGCAGCTTTACATGTGTCATTGGCTATTTGTCTGTCTTTTTTTTAAAAAAGATTTTACTTACTTTCAGAGAGAGAGGAAAGGGAGGGAGAAGAACATTGATGTGAGAGAGAAGCATCAGTGTGAGTGAGAAAAATCGATAGGCTCCCTCTCACATGTGCCCCAGCCATGGACCACCTGCAACCTAGGCACGTGCCCTGACCTGGAATCCAACTGTGACCTTTGCCTTTTTTGGGGTGATGTCCAGTCAGCTGAGCCTCACCAGTCAGGAATGTATATCTTTTTCTGAGAATGTCTATTGACATCTCTTTCCCCATTTTTAAAGTAGATTATTTGTCTTCTTATTGTTGAGCTGTAAGAGTTCTTTATACAGTATATTCTGCATATAAATCCCTTATCAAATACATGATTTGCAGGTGTTTTCTTTCAACTTTTTTGATGGTGTCCAATTTATAAATATTTTCTTTTGTTGCTTGTGCTTTGGTGTCATGTCTAAGGAATCATTGTCTAATCAGAAGGCATGAAGATTTATACTTATGTTTTCTTCTAAGAATTTTATAGTTTTAGCTTTTACATGTAGGTCTTTGATCCATTCTGAGTTGATTTTTGTATATGCAGTGAGTAAAGAGTTTAGTTTCATTCCTCTGCATGTGGCTATTTGTTCCAGTGCCAGGTGTTCGAAAGACTATTTCTTCCCCACTGAATTGTCTTTGCCCTTTATTGAAAATCAGTTGATCAAAATGTGAGGGTTTATTCTGGACTCCTCAGTTCTTTACCACTTGCCCATATACCTATCCTTATCCAGTAAGTTTTAAAATTGAGAAGTGTGAGTCTTCCAACTTTGTTCTTTTTCAAGATTGTTTGGTTATTCTGAGTCCCTTAAATTTTCACAGACATTTTAGGATCAGGTGGTCAATTTCTGCAAAAAAGCTAGCTGGTATTTTTATTGGGATTATGTCAAATCTATAGATTAATTTGTAAATTAGTGTCATTTTAACAATATTACATCTTCTGATTCATTAACATGAGATGTCTTTTTATTTATTTAGGTCTTTTAAATTTTCTCAGCAATAGTTTGTCTTTTTAGAATATAATAGAGAGTTTTACTTCTCCCTTTAACTCAGGATGTGTTTTATTTTATTTTATTGCCTAATTGCTCCTCATTCTCTTTTACTGTTGTATAGTATTTCATTGTATGGATATGTGAGAATTATTTTTGCTAGTCTCTCATTGATGGATATGTGGATTGTTTCCAGTATCTTGAAGTAACAGTGATACTGCTGTGAATAACCTATTACTACACAGAAAATCAGTTTTCAGACTCTTTTATCCCAGGACTACTTTACCTTAAGTATGAGTAGTAAATTTGAACATAGAAAAAATTTAATAGTCATCAGAATTTTATTTTCTTATAAAGTTGCTTAGTTTTATTTGGCAAAAATTGTTACCCTATCTAGATATTAAGAATGATATAATAAAACTAAATTATATCACAAATCAAATATCTAATATTGAAATAGAGCTTTTAAAACAAACAAAAAATACTGATTTTTAAAATCATGTCCCCATGTTACTAAATTTTAATAAGTTTTAGTTCACAAGTATTTGCCACTACTTCATTAATCAGCAAGGTGAATGTGGGGAGAGAAGAGTACTCTGTGCTAAGGGAACACCATATACAAATGCCTGAAGATAAATGAGACCATGGTAGCATATACTTTGGTTAAAAGCAATTTGATCATCACAACAGTTTGGCTTAAACAGCAATTTGTTTGAAAATGAATATCACCTACTTCTGTTTTTTTTTTCAAATATTGGTAATTTTGGTGCATTGTGGATTGTTTTTAAAGCATATGTGCCATAGTTTTCAGGACAAGTTTTT